TGGGTCGATGAATTCGCACTGCTGATGAGACCCAATCAGGTCGAAACAGCTGTCCAGTGATTCCTAGTTTACGCTTCATTTGCTATTTACACGACGAATTCATCTTTGCAAATGAATAAAATAGTCCAATACTCACAAGAAACTTCAGTAATTGCTGAACGTTTTCCGTTAAGAATCACTAATGTTATTTAGCAGGAGGGGGCTTGATAAGTTCTGCTAGATTGTCAATGTGTGTCATGCATTTGATCGCCTAAGGTTCATTGTAACAAACTGACTATAGAATGTTTTTTGCGTTAGCGACTTTGCACGTTATTCGGGAAAATATTCAGTCATTGTATGCCTTAACAAAATGGCAAGTGAACTGGTACGCAGTGTTCTACAGAACTTGCTTTCCAACTGTGTTCACGTGTATCAAAATAACTTCAACTAATCGAGACAATCGTTCTCAGTTGAGCAACTGGAAATGAGCAGTGCCTTAGAGAGTGAAACAAATCAAGATAAGCAAGGAGTTATTGCTGAAACTCCTTTCACATGATCAGGTGGGGTCAAACTGCATACCTTTAAGTGATGTGTTACATCGTGAAAATAAATAACATCACAAAAGTAAACGATGATTAACTGACAGAATCATTTTATCGGTTTTGCCTACAGTTAAATAATACCATATTATTAAATATTACCCTCTTAGAAGTGATTTAATGATATCGAAAATGCATAACAGTGGTTTTTACAAATAGTCCATGATTTGTGCCTTCACCTGAGTCCGTCCCGTTCGTCAAAGGCTTTTCAACCTCCAGATGACCATTTTCCCCGTCGTCTGCATCTCGCAAGCTGGACAATCCGCAGGATATTGATACCTTCGTATCCTTGGGGGACGGTAATGGCCAACGACAAATCGCCGAAAAACTGAGTATGATTTCACTTGGATACAAACTGTCAATGGAGATGTACTGTCCGTTCGGTGGTGTGCGATCCATGGGAATACCGGGTGACTGAAATACGAACAGAGAAAGATAGCCACTTTAAAAAGTGCTGATCAGTACGTTTGTACTTGCTCTGACGATCGAGGTTACGTATACACCGAGCGGTTAGTTGGAATGTTCAAACAACTGCGGTCGTGCGGATACCTTCTACGGAACCCGGACAAATGGATTATTTTGAAACACACTGAGGTGCTTACACATCTCATGTTGACAGCTAATAAAGAACTCTCACTTAGATGAAGGAGTTGAAAAAAGAAATGTAATTGCACATTCTCGTCAAAGTTAAATGCACGATCTTCCACAGATTAGTCAGATGTAGAATGATGTTGATTCAATCATAAGTGCCGAGGTTGTTTACACTAAACGAGCCTGAAAAACGGAACCCTACCAAAATAAGATTATTCTGTAGTATCCGTTTAGTGAAATAACAGAAGAGTACATTTTCGCCGTTAGATTATAGCGAACGAATGGGAGCTTTTCAACAGTAAGCCAACCGGAAATAGAGAGGGAACAAACTGTCTGAGTCAGCGATTTACAGAGATGCCTCAAATATAAAACAAAATAATTTATCAAGTCACAAGTGAGCTAAATTTCTCTTTACTACAGTCATATTAGTTTAAATTTTCTTTATGTATAACGGATGATCACGACGATACCTTTATAACGAGCAAAGAAAAGAAACATTTTTCGTACTGCCGCACACCCATTACGCATCATCCACCACTAGCAACATTTACAAAGTATCATTTTTATGATGTGATATTTTAGTGATTGAAGTAGATACGGATTACGAATCACAGACGCAACCAAAACACTGAATCGTTCAAGCGACTGTACGCTGAGAAGCATAAAAAAGGCCACAGAAGCAGCGGTTCGTTTATTGAAAGAAATCGAGTGGATTGAATAATATGCAAATAGAAATATCAATGGTCAGACGAATATCGGTCAATCACAGTTCTCGCTCTTCGAGTTCGACGACTTATCTTTGAACTGTATGACTGTTGATTAATAGATACTTTTAGTCCATGGCCTAGTGTCCATAAACTTGGACGCGTAGGCGCTTTGCTGGCCTCATCTGGGAGGGTTGACTCACCACAAATATATATACATATGGATTATTATCACAATTACTTTGGCAAAGATGATCCTTCGGTAATCCGACGAGTCGCTACTTTATCCAACTTCATGAACTTTAGACCCCGTACCAAAGCAGCTAACATGTTATTTTCTTTTAAGTAGCTGAACACGAAACGAAACATTTTGCAACAAGCAGTAGCTCCAATAAGAAACAGATCTTGGAATCACAGTTTTTCAAAATAAACATCGCTCTATTTGAGACCTAAATGCCAAGCGTACGGAATGGTCTCCAATTTTTAGGGTTTGTTGTTTTGGTAACCGAATAGGTCCATATAAAACTAAAATCGAAAACACGAGTGCAACGACTGGGACTGCGCGTACTCACTTTCAAGTCCGTGTATGTTTTCACGACCGGATAAGTTTGTGTTTTGTGATATACGTCAATCACGCTGGACAAAAGGGGCCCGAAGTTAAACAGTTCAAATGAGAAAATCAATAAACACAAAGTAAGTTTGACTCTGGTGAGAAATTTAAAGTTTTGTAGTTTTAACTACTATGAGTGGAATCACTATAGAAATATTACGCGATTAAATTCGTAACTCAGCTGCCATAGGTTTACGCTGCTCCCCCCCCCTATGGTTACAAATCATTCGTTGTACCAAAGAGGTTCGATGTTTTCACAATAATTGAACTGGATAGGAACCACAAAATGTGACTGGTTGGTCAAGAAGAAAGGCATTCCCAAATCCTAGTGATAAAGTAAATAAATCACGAAATATGCTCATTGATTAGGAACATAATGTAGGTGAACATATGTTTTCGGTGAATTCCTTTACAAGCCTTTACAATCACATTATTTGTTCAAATCAAGGTTTGGCAAATTTGAAGTTTGTATGGCGATTGTGAAAAGTTCGGTAGCCTCTGTGGAATTTGAACCCACGCATGGACGCCGCCTACATGTACATGAAACAAGTTCAACATGGTCACGCAGAAAAGTAAATAAGTCATGTGTTGGGCAATGAGCCCAAGATAACTCCAAATTTGTGTGCTGTTTAGATTACGTAACCAAAGTTATTTAGTCATGGTGTTACATCATGATCGTGTGAAAAAACAATTCTCTCTTCCCTTGGCCAAGGGAGTTCGAGAGCTTGAATCAATTTGCGTTGTGTGCACAGCTCAGGCTTCATGAGTCGGATGCTTATCGCCTCTGCGGTTGCTAACATCCGAAACCGTATTGCTCTTGAGGCGTGTGGTGAGACTCAATAAATGATTGTAAATGCCGAGCGCATGTCAACCAAGTATCTCGTCTCTACCACATGAGCAACGATCGAGCTTGGCACAGCTCCACTCCCACCCTGTGTGAGCCAGCGCGGATCGTGTTCCTTGATCCGCTGAGATTGTGGTTCGACGTACATAAGTCGCACTACAGGTGCACTTGAATTGATAGACAAACATAGCTGAGGTCAACATACGCAGTTTATCTTTCTTGCAGCATCGGATGTTTGGTGACGTAAAGAACACGCATCTTAGCTGAGCGACATTAAATGTGGATTTCACTGCGGCGAATAAAACTCTACTGGCGACATCAGCTTTAACTGGAAGTTTTATAAAATGCATTTTATTCTCCGCTTTTAGCATTTTTGTTGGCTTATCTTGTTCAGTTCAATTACGGTCGCTAAAACTTCTCAGGATATCCATTTTCCAGTAATATTCTCCTCACTAGTTAAAGTTCATCCTTCAAAGTATTTTCTGAACAGATGCGTCTTGCTCTCTGCACGAGATAGTGTATGAGATTACGCTTTTGATAGAGTGGGACGAAGCTGTGGAAATGTGTGTACTGTCCACTCCATGTTGCTTTGAGTTATTTTGCTTTGGATAGAACCATCAAGGGGTCTAGTCAGATGAACATCCAAAAACGGAAGACAATCGTTCTCCTCTGGTTCAGTTGTTAACTTAATTGACGAATGTGCTGTGCTGAATTCTGACTCGACATCGACAAGATGAGTGTTCTTGTTAGCCACGCAAAAGANCGCAAAAGAGATCATCAACATAACGAAGGTGTTGTTGAAAGGAACTAATAGCCGTAAATAAGGAAGTTATCATTTTCGTCACAACAACCTTGTTTGCAACACCGGGTGACTACTGGATAGACAGCTCTTTCAGACCCAGCCCATTAAAGAAACAATGCTAAGATTCGGTGTTTTGCCTGACGAGAGGCAAGAACCGCGAAACAGGTCGCCTGCTTCCAGGGAAATGTTGTGCATTCACTCACATACTACATATTATAAGGAAGTTGTCCCTTGCTTGGCCATGAAGATGTCGGCGAGAACAGGTTCGAGGGGTGAATCAATAACCACACCATCGACTTCGCGGTAGAAAGTGTTAATAAAACAAATTGTACATTTCGTGTGCATTGAAGTATGAATTATTTGAGAGTTGTGAATGGAATACCTACGGATATCGTTTCTGTGTATATGAATACACAAATGAAATCAACCATTTCTAACAGGGAAGCATTTGCAAAGAGAGAAACAACACCCAAAGAGAACCTCAGTCGATTCTTAAAATTTACAGTTTTGGTTATTTCAACAATATAACAGGTATCTCTAAGTGTATGCCTGGTGACACGTTGACGTATGGGTTCCAAAAGTCTAGCTAACCAACGGGCAGTTGCGTGCTGAGGTGATTTTGTCATAGAGATAATGGGACTCATTGGTATACTAGGTTTGTGTATTTTGGGTAGAGCATATAGGCAAGGCACGCTAGAGCCAATGGGTTTGAGGTCTTCAAACAGACAAGATGATATGTAGCCTTGATCTCTGAGTCATTTTGATGTATCGGTACTTTGCTTTTCACCTTTCCCCATTTGATCGTTTTGAATTACATCGCAGGTAAACTTTGTTTGATCGGATAGATGCTGCGGTATTTTGGATACGTAATCGGCACGATCCATTACCACAATGCTAGTCCCTTTGTTTGATTGAGAGGATTTCATGGTTACGTTGTAGGTCTTTAATGGTGTCAATGAGTTTTTGCGTCAGAGGTCCTTTGTTACGAATTTGGTAACGTTACTTTGGTTAGGTGATCTAAACAGCGCACAAATCTGGAGTTCTCGTGGGCTCATTGCCAAACACATGACTCATCCACTTTTCTGTTTGATCGTATTGAAAATGATTATTGTAAAGGCTTGAAAAGGAATTCCCCGAAAACATATTTTCGCCTACGTTGTGTTCTTAAATATTTTTAATTTGCACAAAAGTAAAACTTTCGTTAACATGACTGCATCCGAGTTTAGTGCAAAGAAAACGCGAGTCTAAATACTACTGAAAATAAGGCCAACACCAAAGTAACTTTGAAGCATGGATCCTCAAGAGGAGAAAAGTCCTGCATTTATTTATTCTTTGTTTCAGTTTGGCCAGCAATTGTGTGTTGGGAGTACTTTCTTACAGCCGTTAGAATCCAAATCTGATAGCAGAAATGCGATTGCAAGAAAAAGTAATGGAAATGGCTCCTAAGGGCATTGTGATTGTCGCACGAGGGGTGGCTGGTAGCACAAATTTGAACCACACCATGATTCTACCCCTGAGTTGTAGAACAATAAGAGCTCTGATTCACCATCTGAAGGGTTCCTGAATAAGTTAGAACGCATTCGCACTTTGTAGAAAATCAATAATTCAATAAATATCATCAACCGTGAGGAGGCCAGAGCTTGTTTAGGAACCTCTTCAAGATGTAGATGGGTTGTAAAATATTCCCAACGTATTTGTATTTGAAAATCCAAAGACCAAGCAACCACTGTGCTTGCGCAAAGTTCTACGAGATAGAACCCGAAACTTTCTGTTCATCAGAATTAAAAACCTTACTGACGAGTGAGCATGGATCTTAAGATACATAGAAAACGTAGAAAATTACCTCCTAGAACTACAATCGATAATTCACTTATTACATAACTATTCTCAGCCTCTCGATGCGTAACTAAGCAATTCCAATTAGGCATTTTAGTCTCCGAAAATAACAGCAAACGTTATAGATGTAGACAAGATTAAAAAAAATAAACTTTAATTACAGAAACTAGTTTCTGGCACATATGGCCAACGTAATAGAATAAGTGCTAACAGGAAGGCCCTATTTCAACAAGTAAGGAACGCATTAACTCCGATTTTGCTTTCAAGGTGATATCCGGAAGGGATCGACTGGATGAAATGAGCAAAGCGCGTCATCATCCATTGTTCTATTTTCAAACGCTTCAAAGTAACGCGAACTGTCCAAGGAATGCATCTCAGGTATCATGTTTGTGGACTGGTCAGATAATCCAACTCAAGCTAAAGAGGCACGCTGCTTTTGTTTTCGGATGGAACCTGAAGCGGGCATAATTCACTGATATCAGCGGAGGGGGGCAAACACACTGGCACACAGACGAGTACGTATGCAGGTATGTCTTGGGGATTCAGGCTTGTTTGACCAAGGTACGTCCCAAAATCCTCCCCCTGCGATTCAGCGAGAGGTAGAGAAATGTGTACCACATAGTGGTCATCCAAACATCGCTAGGAGGCTTGTCAGGGGCGATGAAGTCAATGAGACAGCTTGAAATGATGCTCGGACAACTTCAAATAATACACGGACAACTTGATATGATAGGGAGACATCCTGAAATGATGGCCAGACAACTTGATATGATTCCGGGACATCTTGAAAATGATACTAGGACAATTTGAATTGCTGAAGGTATAGAAACCTGCGTAGAGTTCATACCGATATAAGAGAATCTGGCTACCTTGGAGAAAAGCGTGCGAAATAATACCCAATTGATTCCTGTCTGGTGAAATAAGTTGCAACTAGTTTCTCATCCCCTTTGAAATATGAAATAAATCAATAATCTCATCGGAGACATTCCAACGGATGATAAGTGCTAACAACTAGTCCTCTTGCAATTTTCGGAACGTCTCATCCAACAAAGAACAACTCTGGTCGATGCCGATGAAGTTCGCTCTAACGCTGGGAACACTAGAATACTATAAAATACCTCTACGAATATCGAATAATTTTCATATTTCATTTCATACTGTCTCCCCATTCCAACCAAGTGATCAACCGAGTTGAAACCAACATGGCTTCCACTTTTTGATTTGTTCATGGAGAAATGCCATATTGTTTGACTATTACAGTCGTGAAACACATTTACGCTTCATGTCCATTTTCCTCGATCCTCGATTGATGATGACGTCACTTGTGATTGTCCTATCGATCGCGGTCACTGATCGGCACAAGATGAAACATATCCTATCTGTCTTCAGGAAATCCCCCTTACAATGGCTCAACCAATCGGTTAGCTTATCGAGTGACTGACTTCCCCTCACTGCTATTCTTCTTGTGGTGCATGGGTAGGATTGTTGGGGCTGCGTGGTTCCACTGTGCCAACCAGCTCATACCACGGCTGAACCAGATTACCAATTCATGTTTGTTCAAGTGTCGTCTTCAGTGGTAGTCAGTTCATTTGGCCCGACAGCAAAGAAGAGAGACACAGATGACAATCTGTTAACTCCAATCGAAAGCCTCCTGCCAAGTCAGGACTTCCATGCAAATTACGGGCTAATTTGCCAACGAAACTACAAGGCTGGATTGATAATTCGCATTGAACTCACAGTTACTTGTGAGTTTTGGTGTGAGATAATTAATATTGATTGAGTTGAACTGACTCGAGTTTAGTGCTCCCGAGCGTATGGTTGAATCCATGAACTGAAGATAGTGCATAAAGGTGAAGTCCGAAGGATAGTTAGTTCAAATCAATCAATATCAATTATCCCACACCACTACTCACAAGTAACTGAGTTAAATGCGTTCTGAGATTCTCAACTTTTCGTTGGTTTTAGAGATCAGCATGTAAAACAGGAGTATTATGGCGTTCGTAATGGCGAGGCTAGGAAAACAAATATACGTGTCCCAATAATTTGTGTGCAAAATGCATGAACCTCTCACTGATCTAAATTGCTAGAACAAATCACAAAATGTCACCACTTACTTGAACACATCGCAAAATTCTTTGATATCGATCCAAAATTCTTTGGGGTGAATTGCCAGAATCGGAGTAGACTGGGATCCGCTTGCATTGTTGTTTGTTTCATCTCTGAGATTCTGGGATATCGAAGCCATTTCATCCTCGAAAGACAAAACGGACTTTTGTGCGGTCGAATCTCCCGTTCGAGTTGAGCTTTTACTCTCTTTACTCTTTACTGCGGGCCCTGGAATAAGCGAACCAGGGAATGAATGATAGAAATGCGGTAGTTCCCTTCGACCTTACCGTTTAACCGTGCGATTGTATACATTTCATCAGCAGAAAGCTATAGTTTTCAATGCACTCCTGTTAACTGTTAAGGACTTAGGAGATGAGTTGTCATGGAAATACTGAACACAGGACTTCAATCTGCCAAACAACAACATGAACAATTACCTTAGAAGTTCATTCGGTGGACTCCGAAGAATTCTAAGCAAAATCTGTTGTGGTAGTTGGTTTGCGTGCTAACTGGTGGATGTCATATGCTTGTGTAAGTTGGATGTGTGATTGGAAAGTGACAAGATTAATTCCATTGGTGTGACCTTGTAGCTCAGCTCGTACAGCTTCCATGCGTGGGTTCGAATCCAACCGAGGCTACTGAACTTTTCACAATTTCACTATAAATCTATGGTATAAATTGCGCATTATTATTCACGCCATTCTTTTAGGTTAATATAGTATTGAGTAAAGAAGTAATAGGGATATCTTTCGCTTCCTGAGCTAACTCTTCTTGCAACGAACTGTCTCATGGGAACATTTGCGTGAATGTCACAAATGCCAGTACCTCCATATGACCAACAAATTAGAATTGCAAATAGGAGTTATTGTTACCACTTATAGGTGCCATCAAAAAACGCAGAACCTTTTCTTCAAAGGATGAAATGAGTTTTGTAAGTGGTATTGTAGGCATCATTGCTCTAATCCTTACGTAATCTACAATCAAATAGAACTCATTTGTTGAACTGACTTTTCTAATACTTCTGTGTGAAATGTTCTCTAAACATAATGCTTTCGTTGGATATCTTTGCGTCCATCAGTCAGAAGCCATTTATAATTGGAAATTATATATACCTAGAAATCCTTACTCGCTCAGTAAGCAGTCGACCGGAGCCAGACTGTATAATGTGTCAATGAAAACAAGACGAAACAGCGGATAACCCCTTCTAAATATTTAGGAAATAATCACCAATCAAATGTTACGAGAACGCATTTCTACACTTGTAAAAATCTTGCAGATGGTAAGCACACACATCTAATTATTGTGATTTCAGATTACATCTTCCTAATCGGATAGTCAAGACTATCCTTCTCAATGGAGGCTGAATAGCTGAGAAAGTGGAGCAATGAACTGTATATCGCAGTGGCGATCCATTTTCTATTTGGTAGTAGACAATTATTTGTGCTCTCTTGACACCTGTTGTTGATTTCAATATTTGATGTTAATCTGGTACAACCACAGCCCTCGTCTGCTCATTTATGCTAAAGAGGTGGATGAAATGAATGCATCAATCAATTCATTTGTGCTGCTCTAAATTGGTGTTATCTGGCATTTTCCAAAAAGGAAAACGACTTCTGTGTATTTTCGTTTCAACTTGTCACGTTATAATCGGCTGCGGCGCCCTCCATAACATTAAAATGTGCATATGCAACCTATTGTGTGGAACGATGCAACAACCATCATATTGGTACAATTATTATATCACCGTTGTTCACACTCGTCATGAGTAAAGCGCAAATTAGACACTTTAGAGGTTGCACCGGTTTCCACCATATGCACGACTGTGTTTGCCGTTTACGACTATTTAAAAAGATATGTAATCAGTTAGTTTAAATTTGACCAAACAGTTTATCTAATCACAGTTCCGTGTCGGTTTGAGCTTTGTGTACACATTTTGAGTTAATTAATGAAAATTCGAAGGCCGATCCAATTCTGACTCACCTTTCTTCTTTCCCTCCTCCTGTGAACCACGCCTCTGAAACGGTAAAACACATTAACAATAAACGCACATCGAAATTCTACTGTTCATATATCGAAAAGCTACTTTTTCTGTAAAACACAATATCACTCTATGCGGTTGTATAAATAACCGTTTTCAAAGCAGGTAACGAAAAAGAAACGCAAATTGATTAGTCCCATGGTTTTTCACTCCTGTGTGATTCAACTTTTGCAGGTTTGAACTAATGATTACGGATGGTATTTGATGTTTCGACGACTGCTTATACTAGATATTTTTATAACACGTGTCAACCATGTATTGTCATCAAATTTATGGTCCTGATGAAGTGGATTGCTGCATTTCATTTAAAAATTCCATGAATAGGTTTCAGGTGATAGAACAATGCAGAAGTTCTTCGCTACCTTACTTCAAAATTGGTGAACGGAATGTGGTACGGGTAAAAAGGTATCATTACTGAACGCTTAAACCTGATTAAAACTATGGATTATAGCGTTTTCCCTTCTTCATTTTACTTCCTTTGATTGAATATACAAAGATACAGTTCTCCGAAAGGGGGAAGCAGCCAATCAAACGCCTGCCATGAAACACATAATGAGGCAAGTCGGGCGGCGGTGGTGATGGGATCCAAACACACGTCCTCTGGCGTGATAATTTGGTGACGTTATCACCGGGCCACCACTGTCTATCGTGTATATCAACTGTTGTTGACGATCAGTGTTACATGCTGCTGATAACACCTTACATCCTATCAGATACATAATGCATCACTACTTGCAAAGAAAGTTCATCTTATTTATATTACATCAGAACCAAATGATGTTAGGAGTGCATCAAAGAAACAATGCGTCATGTAATGTTTTATGGTGAATGTTATAACGTTAATAGCACAGCGATGTCGGTAGAGATTTGTATTTGTCGACGTTTTGGTTACCGTGGGTAAACTTTCTCAAGGCGTTTCACAATCAAATGACTCAGATAAAAGGATCACATGTCAACGGATATTTCATCCTGTGTGTGTGTCTGTGTGTGTGTGAATTAGTGTGGTGGGCTGAGTGAATCGTTGTCCGTTGTACTAACTCCCATTTTCAGATGGGGTCAAGTGGCACCGTGACCTTTGTAGTGATTACCCAATAGTGATGTTAGCGTAGTCCAAATGCTCGGGATTTTGAATCCGTCGTTCCTGTTGACGTATGCAGAGTGGGTACTAATGGCCAAAGCTTCGGCGTACGAGCGTTTAGTGCATGTTGGAAATCCGAGTTGGAGTATTTCTGGGTCTATGATGTGACCTTCGCCAATGGCGTGAAGAGCGATTGCTGAGTCTCGTTCTAGTTTTGACACAATTGTTTTGTCCGGAGGTCGGTGCTTTTCTTTTCTCTTATGTTCAGTTGTCTACTGATCTGCCCAAAGTATTCCACGGGGCATTATTTACAACTGAATTTATAAGTGCAGTTGCTTTGATCTAGTTCTTCTGATCCAGCTAGAAACGAACGAACGAATGATACAGCTTAAATACAAAAAATACCGTGTAGCCTCTATTGACATTCAGTATAGATCAGGCACTTCAGAAGCAATCAGAAAGATTCTCGGTGATTATAACATACACACATTCTTTCTGGTTGACAACACGCTGAAACGCCATCCCATGAAAGCCAAAGATCCGGTCAAATCGCAAGATCAAAACCCGTGCATTTTTCGGGTGGAGAAACCAACGTTACCTATCATCTCCTTTGACCAGGGAAATCGAAAAGTGACAAGTATACACAACCTCTGGATGCACGCTTACAGCTAACAAACGCGTGTCACTCTCACAATCACTGTTCTGCTAGCGTTTGTCCTCAGAGACCTCTACATTGACAAAGATTATACTGTTGCCTTCTCACCTATGCCGAACTTTTGTATCATCCAACCAAACCCTGTTATTCCGTCTCCTCTACAATGTTTCCCGAAGTAATAGAGGTAGTCACAACCTTAGGCACAGATAGAATAATAAAACCCATTTCCAATCGCCAAGCATAGAACTGTCATTGGCTATTTATGAAACGAAAAGAACACGTTCAAAGCTCGGGTGTTGCCCACCAATCTGTGGTATAGACATGATCTCAGTCTTACCCCAAAAGGCTGAGTTCACAACGCCAGCTCATATGCAAGCTTATTTTGCGGCTGCTGGAACTAACCGAAGTTTATCGAGGATAAATAGAGATTACCACGTTTTTTTACATCTGTTACCTTCACTGTATGTCCAGCCTGCAATGATGAGCAAAATTCACCAACACTGAGATTCGTCAAACAATCTTTGTTGCAGACAGTTTCAGTGACACTCAATGGTGTGGTCTCATCCCAAAGGGGTTCACAACTTAAGGAGGCCCTTTGCATGGTATTTACATTGGGAGCCAATCTACTTGCAAACCTTTCTGTGTAAAACAGATGGTATTGAAGTGGAATGACTATCTTTTAGATTTCACCTTCCAATTAAATATACACTTCACTTGAGTTTTTGACTTGTTAACAGTAGTGCATATCGATAAACCCTTGTAGTTTTTGAGGTCCGGACCTCTGGCATGAAAGGCGTGTGTTTCGATTGCAAAAAACAGCTCACCTCGGGAGTGAATTCGAAATATCAATTCAAGTCTGCGCAGTTGAAATTAGGATTTTTACTTGAAGATGAAGTCTGAATGATGATTATTCCAAATCAATATTACGCATCCCACACCACTGGCAACAAGTGATTTTGAGTTAAAATTCAATTTTGGTGATAATGCACGAACTTGAATGAAATAATTGATATGATGGTAGGTTTTCAACTGCAAGTAACAGGTATCTCCCGTAGGTGTTGTCAGGCCAAATTAATTGGTTCACTGTCTGTTTAGTGGACATCTGAGCAAACGTGATTCCATAAAATGGTTTCAGACACACCTTCAAACGAGGTTAGGCGCAAAGATTTTGGTAACCACGGTCGCCCACTGTAGCAAATGGTCAACTTCCAGAGATTACGCAGGTTGGGGCATGTGTTACGTATGTCACCAAATAGATTGCCACGTCGAGCGATGTTTGCCGAGGCAGGTATTGGGCGGAAAAAAGCCAAGGGTGGTCAAGCTAAGACCTGGCACGAGGGTAGGAAAACCCCAACCAGGAGACTGGGTCACAAAGATCCCCTTAGGCTCCCTGACTGGGGACCTCAGGATGATCATTACCGATGGGTATTTCTAACCGAGACACTGGGTGATATGGTTGAGTATCGTAAACCGTGGCGTTTGTACATCTTCTCAATTTCTTTGCCACCTTACACCACTAAAATTCTCCATTTTCCGTTCGA